GGGCGTGTGAGGTGGGGGGGGAGGGGCTTGCTGGCTGCATGCGAAGCTGTCTTATGTAATGCAGTCTCTCCACACGGCAGAGGTGCACTCATGGCGAGACGGGATCCCTCAACGTCCAAAAATAGCCATTCAAGGTCCCCGGTGCCATTTGCGGATTTGTGTGCGGTCCGCGTTTGTCTACAGAGATGAATTATTTGCATCCCGGTGGCCCAGTGAATCAAATGAAGTGCATCTGCTTCATGTTTCTTGCCAAATGGAATTTGTTCTTTTTTTTTTTTTTCTGGCAGAGAATCTGGACTGAAATAGAAAAAAAAAAATTGTAGACTCACATAGAAAAGAGCGCGAGGAAAGAGCACGTAAAAGATGGACAGGGTCCAAAGTTTGAGATCATTTCAGACCTGATAAAAGCAGCTCAAGTGCAATGTGCTTTTTGCAAAGTACAACCGGCGTAAGTTACCCAAAGGCACACCCGCGTAAACATTGTTAGCTGACTTAATATAGCTGAGCACTGCTGGGTTGAACACATTTTCCGCACAATAAGGCGCACTTAAAAGCATTCAATTGTCTCAAAAGCCAAAATTCCCCCTTTAATCCGATGCGCCTTCTATATCAATCAATATTCGGATTTCTTGGACATCGTATTTTAAATGTTCTGTTTTTTACAGGTTCAGCGGTTGTGAAAGCGCGATATAAATAAAGCTGTATTGTATTGTATTCCCGTTAGCGTCGCTCCCTCTACTGGATGCGTAATGCAACCGCTGCCACTATTGTAGCTTCTATTCCATGCGCCTTATAATTCGGTGCGCCATTTATATGAAAACCGTTTTAAAACCATTCATGAAAGGTGCGCCTGACACTCCGAAGCGCCTTGTAGTGCGGAAGATACGGTCATCCCGCCACGGGTGGCGACAACGCACAGTCGCGGATGCTCACTCGAATGCTTTACTGAGACGCATTCTTCGACGAATTGCCTCAACTGACACCGTCATTGTCGCAGCTCTGATGCTGCAATTTTTCAGATCAGACACACGCACACACGCACGCGCGCACACACATTGCGTCTTTCAACCTTGCTTGGTTGTGTCGCCTGGCAGGAAATTTTGCCCGGTGGTTGTCCTATGAGGCCAAAAGGCCACTGATAATGACTTCCAGGAGTTGACAGTATAGGTGGGTTCAAGTTGTTGGCTTTTTTTTTAGGTCATCTGCACGATAAAGTGAAGAATGCAACTCAACTTCAGCAGCAGGCAATTCCTTCCCATTTCCAGCCAGAGGGCTTCTTCCACTCGCAGACGACGCTTTGACGACAAAGCGGATGGAGAGTTGGACAACGTCCACTGCAGAGGACGAATGGGCTATACTCAAGGTCATTTCTCATTTTGGGCCCGATAAGATTGGCCGGGTTCTGGGAGGGTGAAATTGTGTGACATTAGACAGAGGACAGGAAAGAGGAAATGATACTCCGTACGAGAGGAAGAACGTGTCATTTTATCCTTGCAAGAGCGCCGATTCGAGGCTCCAAAATATTTGTTTTTTCCCCCTCCCCACTCTGATTTTGCAACATGACCTCATGAGAACGTTCAAAAGGTTAAGCGCCGCGTTTCAACTTGACTATTTTCCAGCAACGTGTTACAGCTCCACACACACACGCGCACACACACACGCACACACACATTTGCCCCGACAAGCAATTTTCTGCTATCCTGGAGAGAACAGGCTTCACTTTGTCACAGGGCAGCTCTCCTTTCCCAACCGTAAGCAACTTTGTGAAGTCATTCCATTACAATGAGTTTCCCATTCTTGATTCACTGGATTTCCACTGGCCAGTAAGTAATCCACCAACATTCAGTCAAGAGACGCCAACGGGACGGCGTCCGGGGTCTTCCCTGGCTCTGCAATCAACGCAGTTCACAGACGCAATTCTTCCCACACAAACACTTCAGAGTTCAGGATTTTTTAAATCTTAAAAGTTTTTTTTTTTTTTGGTGAGTCAAAACGTTTCTCATATTAGCTACACTGTGTTCACGTCGCAGTCCTTCGGCGTCATAACTCGAGAGTCGTCGGCTTTCCCAACACACAAGAAGATTTTGGGTTGTAAATAGAGATTGCGTATCAGGCGTTTGTCACAATGGGCAAAAACAGCCCCATTATATTTTTTTGATGGCGGCAAAGAGCATTTGAAGGTAAACTGAAGCAAGCGGGCGAATGACAAACGCCTTTGGCTTTGCCACAAAGAGAGAGAGGAGTCTCTTTTTCCATCACTTGGGCGCTCCTTCTTCAACCTCTTCTTCACGGTCATCACTTCTTTGATCTTTGCCTCTTCGCTGATTCACTCGCACATCCTTTACGCCACAACAATGAGAGTTCAAAAAAAAAAAAAACCCCGCCAGCTTCCAACGCTCGCACTCTTTTTCGTCTTCTGCTTGAGGTCCTCTCCCTTTCGGTTTTCCCCTTCTCGACGTGCGTGAGGAATGTGTCAGAGCGGCACAAAAGAACAAAAGCGAGACGAGGGTGGTGGGGGGGAGGTGGTGTTGGAAGAATAGAAGAGTAGCCAAGGAGGGGGCCCAGAGAAAGTTGTGAGAGGTAAAGGGAAGGAGGGAGGACAGAAATGTTAAGGGGCGCAGCTCACGGCTGATTGCACCTGAATACTGAACGGCCCTTTGTCATCACGTGCTGACATGCAGCATCTCACACACACACACACACACATACACACACACACACACAGAGCCTGTCATTGGCTGCTAACAATACAGTCGTTTCTTCTTTTTTTTTTCAATTCCCCCTTGTTCCATGTGCATGTTTTGTTAGCATGTCACGGTCATGTGCTAATCGCCAGCTTGCCGGGATGAAACATGAATCTTCCCCGCCGCGGCCACTTGCGCATTGTAACATTTGTGGCGTCATCGGTCACTTTCAAAAGATCAATCGTCACTTTGGGAGCGGGGCCTGTGTGATAGAGCTCCGCAGCAACAGAGTGGTCGAAACACGCCACACGAGTTGGAAGGAAACGAGGCCAACCAAGCGCTCGAAAGGAGCATAATGCGGCTTCAAGCTCTTTCATGCCACGCCCAGTGCAAGTTGACTCTGAAATTAAACAAAGAGTTGCCAAAAAATAAATGAAAACCGCGTTTTACATCAGTCCACTAGCTTAATGCTAACAGAATGGAAAATCCCATTCGCAAGCTAACAGTTAGCGTTGACAGCTGAGGTTTTATAACCCTTAGAAAGGAGGACTCAAGACAAAAATTGTCTTTCTAAAAATATATTTGAGGTGCCCCCCCCCCCAGAGTCTAAACAGGATTGTGATTAATAAACAGGTGACTCCATTGGTTTTGATCCATCTCAGGGGGCAGGCATTTCATACAGCGTCGCCCCCTGCTGTCAACTGAAAATTATGTCAAGATGCGCACAAACGTCATGTTGACAGGACAAAATGGCAGCGCCCTGACAGCAGTGAACATTTTAAGCTGCTTAATTCTATTTCCGTGAACGCAATGTACATTAGAATCCTGTATTTAGACTAGTGCGGGCACACAAAAGACCTTATTTCTAAGAGCTTTTTTTGCCTCGAGTTTCCCCTTTAAGCAATGGATATTTGAATATAAATTGTGGAGCAACACATGGAGACAGACGATATACTGAGAGGCATATATTCTTTATCTTCTCCAAAACAACAGACTGAATTGAATTGCTTTGCATTCTATTTAATTGCGTTCTTCCTTTGTGTTTTTACAAAGTGCAATGTTATGGAGTGCTATTTTTCATTATTTAAAAATGTTTTTTTTGGGGGGGGGTGGAATAAATAATGGCATTTCCATTCGTTTCTGGAGGGGCAGATTTAAAGTAGGCATTCAGAGTTGGGAGGCGTTTCACTCAAAAAGTTCATTCAGAATATAAAGTTGTAATTTTTGAGACTCCAGTTACAATTTGGGGGGAAACAGTTGCATATGACAAATGAAACGATAACAGCTTTAAGTCGTGATTTGGAGTACAGTTGTAATGTTTCAAAAAACTTGTTACAATGCCCTTTTTACTGTGCATCTGGCAAACATTTAGAATCGAGAAATATTCAGTCTTCCACCTCTTTTGTTATTCGACCTCCCCCTCCAAATAACATGTTTTTCTAACGCTGCTGTCTTCACATTGCAACTTTTACCCTTGTAAAATTTGAGAGTCGTCTTATTTCTGAGCTCAGCTCGGTTTTTGCTTTTCCACGGCCGCAATACGCAAAGTCATGGCTGAAGTCAAGCAAAGCCGCCGCATGGCGCAATTAGCGCAAGGCAGCGGAATTTGGACACAACCGCGCGTTAAAGGGCGCTCGTCTTCAATTACCGCCGTGTAACTCTTCTTTATAGCTCCATGCGTGTGTGGACTGACACGGAGCCTTTGCGTGCATTGCTCGCGCAGCCCCCTTACTTGCCCTCCTCAAAGTCGCCCGGGTTACGGCGCTCTAATTCGCCGTGCAGTGTAGCGGATGGGATCATCCATCATGAGTCAATAGTTAACGTCGGCTTTGTATCGGTGCCATCCATCATGGGCGGCCAGTGTGCGCGTGCGTGTGCGTGCGTGTTCCTGGTGCGACTACCTCCCACACCGCGGGCCCCCCACTCTCTCACCCCCACCCGCCTCCCTTCCGTTCCCGCAGCGGGTGGGAGGCAAGGGAAGCCATCGCCGATCTGCGCCGATCCCACCTCTTTTCTCTTTCTTCATTTCCTCCTTCGGCAGCCCACTAGTGGCCCGTGACGCCCCGGGGGGGGTTGTCTGCGTCTGCGCTGGCTCGAAATAATCAAGCTCACCGCACCCACGCCGAAACACGTCATCAATACATAAACGGTTTCTGTCGTTCAACGACAAGAAAGCATCGCCAAGACAAGCTGCCAACAGGGGGCGTCATTTTATTAAAGTGCCGTGGATCCGCGTTTGTAATCTGGTTGTCGACGGGGCGTGGCCGTATTAATTTCGGGGCGTGGTCACGCCTCTCCACGAGTATGCCTATTTCCCGCGGAGCAATTACTTTTCATTTGCGCAGGAACACAGTCAAAGGTGGGGAGGGGGGGACATCAGCGAAGACCAGGGAAGAACCGAAGAGGACGAGTGAGTCTCTACTCGAGGTGCGCACGCAGCAGCGCTCCAGTAGCAAAGACGCAGGAACATGGAGCGCAAAATCCCGGATTTCTCCGGCACTTGGGAGATGAAGAGTTCGGAGAACTTTGAGGAGCTCTTAAAGGTGTTGGGTGAGTGATGCAAACTCGTCACATTTCCGACGCTTTTTTTTTTTTTTTTTTTTTTTTTTTTTTTTTAGGTCACATCCCCACTCTGTGCACCGGGCTCTTTTACGCACGGGCAGGGGGTCTTTGTCATTCTGCAGACGCCCAAAAATTCAAGTGCCCTGGCCCCAGGCCAGCGTCACTGCCCCCCCCCCACCCCCAAAACCCCAGTTGGGCTGCCACAACACAATAGAGACAAACGGCGGCACATCTGCCTGTGCAGCAGCACTCCGATTGTGTGTGTGCGCGCGAGGGGACGCGAGTACAGTGCGCGAAAGGTCTCGACTGATCCAAAGTGACAGTCGGGAACAGCAAGGGGGGGGAAACACCTGCTGGTTGCAAGCTTTTGGCTGCGCTGTCTCAGAGTCCCATTGAAGGGCTAATTTGGTATTAAAAAAAAAATTGTAAAAGTGTTAAATCTGGTAAAAGTGGTTTCGAAAAGGTACATTTTGGAAATGTACAAAATATGATACGTGGAAAAAAACGTCAAACTGCTAAATGTGATTAGAAAAAGTAATTTTGGTCAGAGTGCTAATAGTTGACAAAAGTGCTTAAAAAGTAAAATGGGCAAAAGTACTTCATTTGGTCCAGAAAGGTACATTTCATAAATGTACAAAATTTGAGAAGTGGTGGGGTTAAAAAAAAAAAAAAAAAAGGTAAAAGTGCTAAATGTGATGAAGTAATTTTTGGTCAAAGTGCAAAGTGGTTGAAAAGTCAATTTGGTGGACAGATGGGTAAATGTGGTAAAATTACAAAATGTGATGTATATTCAGTGTAAAAGTGCTAAATGTGATTAAAAGGTAATTGCTTGTAAAAAGTATTCAATTTGGTTATAACAGGCAGATTTGTTAAAAGTAACACAAGGCCAAACTGCAAAAAGTGATGGAAAGGTTAAACACTGTAAAATTGTTGAATTTGCTAAACGTGACTAATCTGTCTTGGGTCGGGTTCAAATATGAACTCGGGGTTTCCCATGTGGAGTTTGTGTCTCATCTCGGTGTGCCCTGCGATTGGCAGGTGACCAGTCCAGGGTGTGGGATGGGTTCAAATGAGGACACGCGCTTCAAAAAAAGAATGACTGGAAAAGGCTGGGGCACTTTTGAAACATTTCATGCATTCACTTCATTCCCGACAAAGAATGCAGGATATGCATGTGAGGTGCAGGTATTATTTTTGACCACTCGGGGTCACCATCCACACTTTGTACACCACCGTAAATGACCGAGTGAATGCTGTTGAGTGACGTGGAAGTGAAGGCAGGACGATGATTCAAACAACCAATCAAGACGCAAATTCATCGCTAATCAAAAATGATTAGCAAAGTAACTTGTGACTTCATATGACAAAATGCACACGTTCTCAATGAACAACTACATGTAAAATGTGCTTTTTTTGCCAGCCGAGTATTCCGACTGTAGTTACTCTTCCACGACCTGAAAAATATCCTCAATCAACACTAACGAGCACTCGTCCATTCGTTCAACGCTGCGCGTCCTACGCAATTGGCACTTGGGTGACCCCGCCCCCACAATCTCCATGTGGAGATGTAGCGCAGCTGGATACGGCCTGTCAGCAACCGCCGTCTCAATGCTCGCCTCGACCCCCCCCCCCAAGGCTTCCTCCGCTCCCTGACCTCTGACCCCGGCGCTCGGTCGGCGGGCGAGCACGCCCTCGCGAGGCCCGAGCTGTTTGCGTTCAAGTCTTTTGGGTGTCTGAAAGTCAGATGGGATGTCAGTCACTTGAGAAGCCTCCCCCCTTCCCCGGCCCCCCCAACTTGGCTTTTAGGTAGACACAGGGGTCACTTCATGTCTGCAACTCAACTCGCTGCTTGAAATAAACCCACACTGTCAGAAACATCGACATGAGTGGCAGGATGTCCAGTCTAAACCAGCAGGTTAATCCATCATTTCATTATTGGAAAGCAGGAAATTGGTTTTGAAGTAGCGCACATTCAGGTCAGGACAAAAATAAAATAAAAACTGGTCAAACGACTCACCCGTCGGACTTCATGAGAACATAAAGATGCAAGTGATCACATTTTACGTCTTTGGCATCACTTGGGAGACTTCTGTGGAGGTACCTGAAAAAGAAAAAAAACAAAAAAACTGAGCTGAAGTCCAGTGGGATTTGTTGAACTCAAAATTCGGTTTGACTTTTAGGGCCCAATTTTTTTCCCCATCTAAAATGTACTTTAAAGCAAAACAATGGAAAGAATGAAACCCTTGGTGTGGCGTGATTTAATGCTTCAATTCAATTTATCGTGTTCCTGCCTCGGCCACCAGAGGCAGCATAACACCCGTGCAGACAAATAACAGTACTTCTATGACAAAGTGACTAAGATGATGTACTGGTCATTTTATTTTATTTTATTTTTTTGTCGAGAATAAAGAATAGCGCCTTTGTGTATTCTTCTATTATCGATCTACATGTGTTGTTTCACCGTTGGTGGTTCAAATAGCCATTACTTGTCGCACCACAACAATCGATCCTAACCGTTAGCGTATAAATGGCATTTTGTGTTGTTTGTTAGCATTAAGCTAAGCAGACTTTCCGAAGGAAAAGCCACAGTATGTGCTTGCTTGCTTTAAATCTCTTTGCTTTATGTTTAATTTGACAGTAAACCTCAGCTGGGAGTGGCATTGAACAGTTCGAAGTCACTTTTTTTTTTTTTAAAGAATTGTTTACTATTTCCCAAACTGCTGCTTATTGGCAAATATTACGTCGGGTCACTCGTATCAAGTGACTGCTTTGATTTCTCCAAATGAAAATAGAAGCGAGATAGCAATTAAATGAAAAACTAAAAACCATACTGAAGTGGAGCGACAAATGTAAACGCGAGGCAAGCGTACGTGAGGCAAAAACAAAACAAAACAAAAAAATTAGGAAAGTACGGCGAACAAAGTGACAATGCCCGCACCGTACGTGCCGTGTGGAACTCCGGCTGCCCCCATGAATGACTCTGCATTTCTTGCCACGTATATATTTACTCCTGTTGACAGGCGTGAATGCCTGTGAGGTGGGGAAACTCAACTGCAAGGCGCACACGCACAAAAGCACGGATAGGACACTCAAATAATATGACTGCAGTCAACAAGTCTTTTCAAGAATGCCGTATTCAAGGAAAAAAAAAAAAACAACTTCACTGGTCAGTCACTTCTGATTTTATTTTCGTCCAACCATGAATGTCAACGAGGCCAAAATATAAAATGGGAACTTGCAAATTCAGATGTTATCCAACAATAGTCCCTTTTGACTGATTTTGTCAGATGGAGGAAAAAGAGAAAATAGCCTGCGGCGGGAAACAGTTTGGGTGTGAGCGCACAAACTGGATATGCTGGTGCGTGCAAAGACGATGAAGTGGAGGGCGAATGCAGATGTGCTGGCCGCGCTTTGTCATATGACCTCATTGTTTCCTCTCTGGTGGTTCATGGGACTCAACGTGAGAGCGATATCGACGCGGGTTTCACGCGCTGCCGCTTCGGTGCGACGTCCAAGTCATCTGTTCTCTTGACCCGAGTGCACTCGCGGTTGGAAGCGTCGAACCTCTTTGCAACTTGACAACGTTTCCACCCCTATAGCGTTCACATTCTCAAAGTCCCGATTTCACGTCAGTCATATGCCATTTGCCGAGTTTGCATACGACGAGCAAATTTGTAACGTAAATTTCATTTCAACGACGAGATTTTCCCCACAAAATGGTGAAAAGACCTTCGCGACAACGAACCATGGGAAGCTAATAATAAAAATAATAATAATACATTTCATTTATAAGCGCTTTCCAAAACACTGAAGGACACTTTACAATCAAAACAAGAACAATAAAACCACAGATAAAATTATAAATAATAAAAGGAGAGATCAATTTGAACTGAATTTACTGCCGCCGCGACCTTGCTTTCGAGCAGAATGTACAGTGCGGGATTCCCCTCCCTTGCCTAGCAACGTGACTGATCGACTTGTGCATTGTTGTACTTCCGGTCTGAAAAATATGTCTGGTCAACGGAAGCGGATCTCGCTGTCTGCGAAGACTGAAATTGTGTCCCAAACGAAGCTCAGCCGAGACCACCAAATGGCAAAGTCGCCGATTTTTGACGACGACATGGCAACAAAATCACGGCAGAGTTTCGACGCCAACAGACTGAAAGATGATCGTCAACGGCTTCGGGGCGCGGCGCATCCTGAACTGGAGAAGACGCTTTTCATTTGCTGACGGAATGTTTTCAGAGATAAACTGGGAACGCTACAGTTGTTTGTTTCATGTCCTATAAAATCATTTTGTCTTCATACCGTACCCACGTATTTGTCATTGACATGTTGATACTCTATTACGTGTTCATGTTTTTACATCTATACATGTTCAGGCTCTATTCGACATCGTAGCCGGCGGCCATTTTATCGGAAATGGTTACAACGAACTATTGTTATAACGTACGGATTTGTTTTGTCCCTTGAGGTACGTTCAAGGTTCGACGGTATCCATTCGGTTGCGCTCACTGGTTTGGCAAGTATTTACTTTGCCGGCTTTGGCCTTTGTTTGAACCGGAATTTCGAAATCAAGATGACGCAAGTGATAGGGTGCGGGGGAGGGGGAGGAGAAACATACACAGGAGGTGGTATCGACATGCGATATATGCGAGTGTCTCCATTTCCGTAGTGTGATATGTTGGGTTTACATCTGGGACTCCTAATATATATATTTTTTAATCCAGTAAAGTACATATATTCCTTCTTATGTGCAGATTTTTTTTTTTAAGTTTAGCTTCATCAAACATTGACCCTTTTGCCTGTGGAAGTGGAGAGAAAAGAGGTGGAGCCAGATTCAGGGAACCAGGAGTCACTTCCAAAGTATTTATCAAAAACAACTTCAAAAAAAAAAAGTCCAAATTCAAAGAAGCAGAAGGAAACGAAAACGCTCACCGCTCGAGGAAGACATGAAGCCACACCGACAGAAACGATATCAACAAATTGAGGAGACAACGAGGCACACCTTGACAAAGACGCGAGTGGCTGGATTCAGCTGATTGCATGACACAAGGAACAGGTTGGGACCAAAATCTAACCAGCAAACAAGACATGAACAAGGGATGCAGTAAAACAAGACCAAAATCGAAACAAAGTCAACAAAAATAAAACAAAAAAAAAGTGCTTGTTTGTCAACATTGAAAGACAAGTTTTATTTAACTTTTAAATGCAATACATTTCAATTGCATTTGCATTCTTTTTTTTTTCTATGATTGTTTTCAAACACATGATCAGCTTTTGTTGGTGTTCAAAATCGGATTTGGAAGAAAACAACGTGACAAAATTTACCCCAAAACGGGTCTGTCAAAATCCCATGTGTGGTTGCGATGACAATTTTAAATCTGACTCCACTGCATATTTTGAAAATCCAATCATGGCTTCCGGTCCACTTGAGTCTTTTGTTCGTGGAAAGAAAACGGCGACATTTTTTGTATCATCGGTGTTTCGAGATTCTCGCTCCAAAGGCTAACTTTGGTCCTGCCGTGTGTGTCTTGCAGGCGTCAACGTGATGCTGCGTAAAATTGCGGTGAAGGCGGCGTCCAAGCCCCTCGTGGAGATCACGCAGGACGGTGAGACGCTGTCCATTAGGACCTCCACCACTGTGCGGACCACCCACATCACGTTCACCGTGGGACAGGAGTTCAACGAGAGCACCGTGGACGGCCGTCCCTGCACGGTACGCTGGGGACGCGAGAACATTCCGACGGATCGCGTCGCTGATGGACGCCAGCTGTCCGCATTGCGTCAGTCCGTTTGATTTGGCCTGATAGGCAATCTCCACCCGTCCCTCGGTCCCCGAAGGAGTCTTTACGAAGCCTTTCAACTGGCTGTCGCCCCCCCCCCCTTCCACCGCGGTTCTCGCTATAGGTGGCCTCTGTTTATTTGACTCCAAGGCAAACACGGAAATCAGTGTTGGCGTCTCTGTGGTAACAATGAGCGCATCCAAAGTGATCAGCTCACAGCGCCCTCCTTGTTCCTCTTTGCGGCTCAATGAGCCAACGGTCACAGTTTCCCGTCTCCCGTCCGACTGACTCATATGCGCAGATGATCTCACGGGATTGACCTTAACGTGTTCCGCGAGCAACACTTCCCGTGGGATCGCTCGCATACCTTTCATAAACTCATGGACTGCTTGCCGTTTGCAAAAGCAGAGTTCCCAACATATGGGCGGCCATTTTGGAGCGACGAAAGCATAGATTCTTCTTTCACTTCGAGCTTGTTCCGCTCAGCAGTAGAACGTGGTTTGGGCTGGATGCACGTGCGTCGCTCACGTCGCCGATTGGCGAGCAGTCGGAGGTCAAGGCGAGCTTGGTGCTACTTTTGCTGCACCAGCTAGCTAGCAACGAGCTTCGCCAGGCTACTAGCGCAGCGAATCACGTTGCGATCTCGCTGCTAAGTCACTAAATCATCGCCTCCGTTGCGGCGTATAAGCTACACTTCTGACAAGAATCGTCCTTACGAAGAGATGACAAGGAAAGACGTCAAAGTCATGCTAATTGCTAAATTAAGCTAAATTTGACTTGATAATTTGTACACTGTCGTAACCGCTGTCCCTGAAAGGGTGAAAACACTCACTAACTCCCAACAAAAGTATTTGATGGTTGAAATGAGGTCTAGTGAGCTGTGTTGTTGCTTTGCATCATATGCTTAGGCCACATTTTCGGGTGTTCAATGTCCAAAGTTGTCAAAAAGTCAGATTTTTTTGCCCAAATCTAGGTTGCATTCTAATGTGTGAAACCTTGGAGGTCATCCCACTGTCGGCTTCCTGTACATTCAGGTCGTCAGTGACCTCATCAGTCCATCTCCTGTTTGTCTCTCCCACTGCTCAGAGTTCTCCACGCTGGGAGACGGACAGCAAGATCAGCTGCGAGCAGACCCTGCACAAAGGGGAGGGGCCGAAAACCTCCTGGACCCGAGAGATAACCACCGATGGCAAGCTGATCCTGGTAAAGCGACACAGAAAGGAAAAACACTTTTCTTGGCCTTTTTTTTTGCAGACGTTGACGGAAATTTCAACGCGGTTCTGTTGTGTTTCTGACAAAAAGCATTTGCGTCTCTTTTCAGACCATGGGAGCGGACGATGTGGTGTGCACCAGAGTCTACGAGCGCCAGTGAACAAGAGCACTTCTCACTTTTGGTCCTTTCACGTCTCACGCATCACCACACAAAACGAAGGCGGGAGACGGCATCCTGTATTTTTTATTTTTATTTTTTACTGATTCCAAAACAGTGGTGCTTTCAGATAATTCGTTCGAGAACTCCTGCAATCATCGTTGCCAATTGAAATGCACGAAAACTCCACAAAACCGTTCCTGTCATCACCCCCCCCCCAAAAAAATGTGGTGTCTTTTTGTGTATTCGTTTTTCTAGCACTCTGTATTTTACTTGAGACATGTTTTAAACAGTTTGCGCATCATGATTTTATACTGCAAACCAATTCGGGGTGCTGCTCCTTCTGGTGTGCCCTCCTCGGCCACCGGGAGGCAGTACTGCACAATCCAGTCAGTCTGACAAACAAAGAAGAAGAAAAAAAAAAGACTTCTTCTGCTGTACTTCTACTCAGTAAGTTGCTGTAATATGTTAGATGGTTAGATGGAACAGTTTTGTGTCCTTGAGGCGCAAACAAATAAACTTCACGAATTGCAAAACAGTGGTAAGAAGCAATCTGTGGCAGCCAGACCTGTTGTTCTCTCTCTCTCTCTCTCTCTCTCGGGCAAGCTTCACACACCTCACGAGAATTGCCGAGTCATTTGGGGCTTTTGATTCATCCAACCTGTGTCGATACGAAAGACTGTCGTGAAAGCGATGTATCGCGACCTAATACGGTTTGTCCACCGAGTCTCTCTCTCACAAGCTATTCAAACGATGAATGCAGGCAAACGATTGCAAGTCCTTTTTCATGGGGGATAAAGAATATATGCCTGTGAGTATTGGTATCTGTCATGATGGGTTGTTGCACCGTTTGCGTTCAAACATCAGTTGCGTAAAGGGTTGAAAAATCACCACTACCGATGCTAACGTTAGCGCGTCAAAGGCTTCAACTAGCGGGCCGTTCTTCAGGTTCTTAATGGAATTGTCTCGTTTGAAATCCACAGCCCTCTTTGTTTGATGTAAACGTTGACAGTTAACTTCTTAAAAGTCGGGTCGTTTGTATCTCAAGGCAGCACTGTGGCGGCATTGTGTAATTCAAATCGTAAATGCATCCTCTTTCGTGTCTTAGCCTTGCACTCTTTGACCATTTTTCTGGGCTCTCATGAAAGCGTTACCGATTTGAAATATGTAAAATGTTTGTGAGACCAATGCGCGGCTGTTTCCAATTGTATTCACCGACTTATCTTCTTTACTGTTTGCTTCTTTGGCCCTCGATCACATTTTCTCTTCCATTTGCTATTTATTACCACATGACGGCCCTGCCAAGGTTCTTACTTTGCGTTTAACTGATATGATATGTGATGCTACGAAGCAACATTTTCTATGAGAAAACAATAAAGCAGCAACATTGACTTAAGACTGAAGTGGTTGAGGAATTTGTTCCCGTTAGACTGAGGACTCCATCTTATTCGGGGGCTTACGGTCAGCCGCCCGCAACGAGAATAACTTGCCTGTGCCCTCCGCTTACACTCTGTCAATCATCTCTTTGCCACATTGCCTCAAACTTTCTCCTTTGGCGCGTTTCGAGTAGGCAAATATTTCCGTGGCTACCCTCACTGTCTTCACTCCCTCATCCCACACTTCATACAGACCTGCTCATCCGGCAGATCTCTGGGCCCTTCGATAGTTCCAGGAAACCACAAGACATTTTACATTTGGCTCCGTTCATTTTCAACTGGAAAGTATGCTAGGCTCGAAGGAACCATTGTAATTCGTGCAGCGGAAAGACAAACAACCTCAGTAAGCTATCATAATGGGGTTAGCGCGGAATGAGAAGACGCATGTGACATCCGTGGTCGAATTCATGCAACGCGGTGACAGTCAGGGTGACGTGGGAAGGAGAGAAGCAACAGAAGGTTTGCAATTGCTCCTTCGTTGTCATTAGCCCTTTCAGGGACAGCGGTTACTACAGTGGACAGAGAGCATGAAAGAGTTAAAGTAGCTGTTAAGTGAAAAAGAATAGTGTCAAGAGTGTTGCTCACAGCCCTGCCCAATGCGAATGATTCAAAAAAGTCAAACCACGTACAAAATGTGCCTTCAAAATCATGCTAGCTTGCGCTAGCCTCGGTCAGTTTGTGGTCTTTGTGAAGAGTGGACGGACAAATCGGTTCAACACTTCAGTCTTTTTGCAGGTTTTCAGCATTTAACTTTTAAGTTTGAGTGTTTCAAGAGTAAAACAACTTGTAAAAGGTTTTCGGACTGTTTTTGTCGCAGTTCAGTTGATCAATACTTCAGAATGAATTGATTTTGGACTTTGCAAGTTCCAATGTTAACAAAAAGTAAGAGATGCTTCGGTGTTTTATTTTTATACACATCAAAATTGTGAAGGGAAATGCTTTAAAAGACACAACTGATGAATCTCTCGGGCAGACAAACAGACGTTGGGTAAGCTTCTAAGGATTTGTGACCCCCTTGTCCTCTTAAGTCCCCCTTCTGAACACATCCAGATGGTCTAGACTCCAGTTCTACTCAGGAGCAACTCTACAGCCAATAAGCTAACATCTTTTTGTACATTTACTACCGGTAGGTTGTTGTCGACCAGACAAAGCAATTGATCGAACCACTCCTTGCAAGAAACTGAGGAAGCCTTAACTTGGTGGGAGTCTGTAAAAACAGTTACCCGGCAACTGCCTCATTAGAGAGGTGTGACAGTGTTTCCTGAACTTTATTGAGCCAAAACACCTTTTTCACAGGAAATCTGAAGGCACACTGCCGACAAAAAAAAAAAAAGTCACAAAAAGTATGAAAACGGAAATAATGGCAATCTGGTCTGTTTGCTCATTTACTTGTCATTTGTTTGTTTCAGTGTCTGTCTGTCTATAATTATTGCTTTTAAATCCAAGCATGAATGCCAATCGGAGCGAAATCTGAAATCGCAGAACTGCAGCTTCAGCTATCCTGTATACTGCCACACAGTGGCAAAGACGGGGACACCAGAAGGAGTCGCACAACGAATTAGACTGCAGCATTAAATCGTGATGCCCAAAATGTTGCATTGTTTACATTCAATTTAATTATGGTGATACTCTATGTTTCAAGAAAGAACAGTATGGTAAAGTGATATTTTTTATTGTTAAAATATATAAATACATAAATAAATTCGAGTGGGCTGGACTGGAATGGATTAATGGCATTTCCCTTCATTTCAATGGAGAAAGGTGATTTGAGTTAGATGCTAAACATATCTCAAGACACACTGTTCACACTTTTTTTTTTGTGATCTTTTTATTTGGTGGTGTGCTGTGAAATTTCTCCAATTGAAAATAGGAGCCTCGCTTCAATAAAAGTTACGAAAAAATGCTGTACACAAAAAGCTCAACCAATCTCGGGTCAACTCGTATCTCACAGGATGCTCGCTGAGGTTGTGGACTGAACGGAAGGTGGGAATCAGTTTTTTGGGCAACTCTTTTGTCAAATGGTCACGGCGTCAAGATCAAGCGGGCGCGCCCCCAGTGGCAGGAAATGCCGAGAGGATTACAAAGTACAGCTGATTGACAGCAGATGTGCTTAACAAGGAGAATGCCGTTAAGAAGGAGAACGGGGCCGGGAAGAATGATGGATCACTCGGGGGTCTTATGACAGCGCTCACACACAAGAACAAGTCACTCGGAGGGGGTTGTTAGCCAGGAATTTAGTGATGCGAAAACAGCTTCCTTTCCTCGACCAAATGCATCTCCCTCATTCCTCCTCTTTTGCCCTACAGCTGTGTGCAGTTACAGTGTGACCCCAATAAAGCGCCCTCCTCCTCTACCTCCTGCCCTAATAAAAAGGGATAAATAACTACCCCTCCCGAACTGTTTATTACCCCCTGGGGCAGTAAAAGGCAGCTGTCACGTCTCGCTTCAAAACGCCTGACTTACACCGGACACGCAAAACCAAACAAAAACACACACCCTGCCCCCAGTCTGAGAACACTTAACGCGTATGACATCAAACGCTCGCAAAGCGTACGCACAGCTCGTAAAACACCGAAACGGCTCACCTAAAAGGTGACCAGACAGCGCGTTGCGCCAAAACCTGACGAAATTCCTGTAAGAAAGGGCACAGACACACCAGCAAAGTGAATACATGCTGGCATCCATCCAGGCTGCAAGGTAGAGCTACCGTGAAAACGTGTTTGCCCTCTTCTCAGATTTTCATTTGTCTTGCATAGTTTCTCCCCTTTAATGAATAATAAGATCATCAAAGAAATGTAAATATCAGACGATCTCTTAATGGTGATTTCATTCATTTAGGGGAAAAAGACTATTCCAAGCTATCTGGTCCTATGTGAAAAAAAGTACTTACCTCTCTTGTTAAATTATGGCTTCGCTGTGGCTAATCTCACTTTTTGGGAAAGATTAGTTCATTTTGACCACAGTCAAGCCGGATTACCTCGAGACAAAGAAGTCACTTAAGTATAGAACCTGTCTGACAAAATAAATCCCACTGCTGACCGAAAAGAACGTCAAAGCTTGTCTTGCATTTCCAAGAAACATCTGAATGATTTCCCGGGGAATATTCTCTTGCCTGCCAAAATGAAAGTTGAACTTTTTGGAAGGCTTGTGTCTTGTTAGATCTGACATAAATGCAACACACCGTTAAAAAAAAAAAAAAAAAAAAAAAAAAAAAAGCATCATAACAACAGTCAGCCATGGTGGTGGTAGTGTGGAGAAAGGAACGAGCCCCTCTTGGCCCAGATGGGGTTGCTATTGACTTCAGGACCTGGACGACGATAGAAAAATGAATGCTGTTGTTTAACAGAAAACGCTAAGGGAGAATATTCGGCAAATATAGTTGTGGACGTCAAACTGAAGCGCCTTTGAGTTCTGTAACAGGGCAACGATCCAAAACAGACCAGCAAGACAATTTTTCAATGGCCTAATCAAAGTCCGCACTTGAATCCCACTAAAATTCTGTGAGAGGATGTTCATGCTGACCACCCTCCCCCAGTGCTGCAGAATAAAGCAGTTTTGCAAGGAGGAGTTGACCAAATTACCTTCACAGAGATGTGGAGGAATCATTGCCAGTTGTTGAAAAAAAATGCTTGATTTCAGTTCTTGCTGCTGAGGGTGGCCCAACCAGTTGTTAGGTTTAGAGGGCAAGTACTTTTTCACACAGGGCCAGTTTGCTTGGAATGTTTTTTTGGGGGGAGGTGTGGGTTGTCTTTGTCTAATGTTTATGATTTTTTTGATTATCTTCAATATTCCAGTGAGGGAATCGAAAAAAAAAAGAATGTGGAAAGAGGACAAGTAGTTTTTCACGGCAGTGTGTTTCAACGGAGTAGAAACAAACCTTGGGGAGTGAAGTTAGTTTAGTTGCCCAGGGGGTTGGGGGCCCACAGTCCAGTGTGGGTTTGATGGATGGCCTACTTTCAAGCAAGAAGAGGAGTGTGAACACCTCTGCATACTTGAGGATATGTCACACAAGGCAAGGTGGGTGATTTGTGCTCTGACCGAAGCAATAATTGCAGGACAGGTCAAGCACGATCTTCACTAGCGAGTCAAGAAGTGGGAGGGCTCCTGAAATAAGTCAGGAGCACGATGGGCCAAGAGGGGCTCGTTTATTCCTCCACCAATGCACGCGTTCATGTCAAGCACCGCCACGATGGTGACGACAACATTCTCGTATTGTACATTCACACCATTCATGTATCCTCTTACACAACTGATGCGCTTCTCGAACGTTCACACGCAACACATCCGTGGCCTGCGGAAATCCAAAACTGGACCACCCGGCAATGAACTAACTTGCACTTATCTTTGCATACAGTTGAAGCGTACCGTGACAGCAACCAACATTCATTTGATTTTGGTCCACACTCAAAAGTAAATTTTTAGATCAATTAGGTTTGGAACAATTCATTCCACAGCCCAAATGGCCACCATTATGGAAGACTTTATAACTGCAAAAGTAATCGTTTACGGTCCAGTGGAGCATTCTCCCCTACCATTCTAGTGCAAGCAGAAGTTAATCACGCTAAAATCAAATTGAAATGTTCAGAAAAAAAATTAAAGGTACTAAAAAGTAAAATGAAGCAAGTGAGGCAACTACATGGGACGAGAGAACTATTTTCAACCGCTGGTAGACGATTTATCTGCCATTTTTTCGGGAGGTTGGAACGGATTAATGGTGTTTCCATTCGTTTCAATGGGGAAAGAGGATCTGAGATACAAGCGGTTTGAGTCAGGAGCATGATCACAAAACAAATTAAAACTCGGTAGGCACTACAATCTCAAGGCACCTCTTTCGATGTAAACACGTGACGGGAAACTGTTTTGACGTGCATGATCTTTAGGAATTTGAAATGATCTAAAAATCAGTCTCTTTCTGTTGTTGAAACTCGTATCAGAAAATAAAATGCAACGTCATTCATGC